ATCATACATTCTTAAAGCGCGTTACTTTCACATAATAACAGTGCATAATATTTCTCACATACACATGACGCTAGAGAGAGGGTTCAATTATTGCTCATTTTCACATCACTCTGCTTTTTACCGAAGAAATTTTAAATATATTGGATTCAAATGGTAAAATTATCTCCCAGATGACATCAAGAACATGACACATCTTCGAGAGGAAAATTGACTGTAGATGATTTTTCAATGACTTATTTTGGCTGAAGTGTAAGAGCCTCGGTATCCGTACTAGATTACTATTTTTTCTTCAGACGTATTGCCTGATCATTGTAACTATATAGTTTGTTGTGTTTTTGAGATGTAATCAGAAAATAAAGATAGACTATTGTTATTATTATCATTCTCACAGTTGCAGATGTAATGTCACGCATTTTCTGAATAGTCGGGCCACAGTTTTTCAAAGAAAAATCCATTATCATATTTATTTTTCTGAGTTTTTGTGGATTTGAGTGAGTTCACCCTGTAATGTTGTTTCGCCTAATTGTACCGTCCTTAATTTCTCTGAGCTTTCGCTATCGCGCAGTAGATGGCGTCAACAGTTCAAATTCTGGCATGTGCATGAGATTTCAGAGGATTTTACATCTTTGCTTTGCAGAGTGTAAATAACGTGAGTAGTGATCGACATTATCGTTCCATAATTGAATTTTGCAATTTTATATCCTGTGAGAGGTATTCAGCAAAGGAAAAATACGAAAAAAATTGTGACATAATTTCACGCTTTCCTACTAGCTGAAGATATCTACGTTCCTAGCTGATACAACGACGGATATTGCGGTACAATAACAGGTATTTGAGCAAAAGTTCCCCCATAGAGAAAATCATGAAGATATAATATTTCCGAATTGATTTATGGGCCCACTCTAGTTTATTTACTCTTTCTCAGTTAGATTTTTACGTTTTTATCTTCCTACAAATGTATTCGTTTTAAGCGATTCAACACTGATAAAATCGCATTCAATCTTAAAAATTGTAGATGATGAAGGATGAAGTCGAAGCCAATCCTATGAAACCAGCTTAAATTACTTCAATATAAAATGCAAAACGGTATCTTTCCGCTCATAAAAATTTAGGTATTTTTGGCAGTTGCGCAAAAAATTGCTATAGTAATAAAAATGCCTCAAAATGAACTTTCTAAGATCAGTTAAGCTTCAGTCTCGAAATTATTATCCAATAAATGAGTTTGGTGTTGAATGAAACTATTTTGTGGCATAAATACCACCTTAACGTCTAAACCAACTGGTGTGAACCCGAATACAGCTCTCACTTTTCGAGAAAAACTTTTTTAAAGAAATTCTACCGAGTATTGAACACTCTTTATGCCAATAGTTATTTTTGAATCAGAGTAAGGCTGGTGTCCTAATCGACTAAAAACCAGTTTCAGGCTGCTAGTCATCGGTAGTGCAGTATAAATCCAACGAACACAGCATTGCCATCATGGTTATTTTTACAAATTCACTGCTTGTGTGTCTCTTTAAGAAACTCCATCTAAATAACTATCGAGTGGAATATCCGTGACGGTATTTGTCAGAGAAGTAGTCGTTTTCCTGAACGTTGTGAATTTTACGAGAAATAATTATTTCTCTTCGACAACCTGGTTTTATTTCTGTTCACATGAATTGTTGAAGATTCAAGAATTGATTCTTAGAGAACACTATAAAATACACCATGATTTCGACTGCCCTTTATTTTATTTAAAGCGTTTAAAGCGAATGCAGGCAACACCTTTGATCTAAAACCACTTTTTGCACAATCAAATGGGATACATCACAACAATAAATACTTCGTCATTGTCTGAAATATCTTCTTTTGTCACAGTACTAATTAAAGAAAATATGAACAAAACCAGACAGTTGTTAATGAATGTCTAGTAATATGTCTTGTTCGATAATATAAATATTTACTCATTCGGATATATTTGGAAAATTCTTGGGATATTTAAAGAAACAAGAAATGTTAAAGTAAATATAATATCTTGGACAAATTGGTTCAGTGAAAATCTGAATTAAAAGATGTTGACAAACATTAAACCAGCATTTTTTCACATGAGGATATATTGTGAATCAGTTACTGTAGATTCCTAGAAAAATAATTCAATTTGTAAATCTTTATAGGAAATTGAAAAGATACGAACTAATTTCGAGAAAGTAAACTTTTATTTCCACACTTCAATATGGAAGTATCTCCTGCCTTTTTTATATCATTAGAAATGGAGGCGGTAGAACCAAAAAACGAAATTTTAGTTTTTTTATGAATATCAGAAACAACCACTTATATTCTCGATCTGAAAGGGGTTATTGTAGTTCCCCAAACTTGGAAACTTTTGTCCAATCTAAACGACCTTGTGGGTCTTACTGTTTCCAAGATAGTGGGATCAGGTTTTGTTAAAACAATCAGTTCAAATATATGAAAATTTTTCTCTTTCAGCTATGACTGTGATTGAATTGCAAATCGATAATTCACACCTACAGGATATTCAGTGCAATGGAACACTAAAATGACATGTGTCTTACATTTTAGTGAGAAAAAACGAATACCGAGAATATATACAGAAGAGTGCAGATAATAGTCGCTGGTATAGCGGAGTGTATTTTAAAATCAACTGGTGAAATAAAAATTGTCACAAAACCTCACGAAACATTGAGAAAACTCAAAGTATTCGCATATATTTTTTTAGCAGGTAACTTTCTAAATAAATCTATGTATAGAAACTTTCTTCTTCTCAAAATTTGTTGATATGAATATGACTGACTAATTGGACTTTTCGGTGGTTTATATTACGTATAACTTCTCGGGATGATTTTTTCATTTTGCCCCTTATTACACTGCAGCAAATTCTCTATTGATTAACCTATGTTTATTTTTCACATTGTTGAAGGTTAAACATTCCAAAAACCGCAAGGAACTTTGAATCCTCCTCAAGAAATGTCTTTCAAATAATGGGTCAGGTATATTTACACATGAGTTCGGGTACACATATGAGTAAAAATTGGATGCGTTCAGTTGATAAAACCAATGACGTGTTTTTCAGAACTACTTGAAACTAAAAACTAAGTAATACAAAAGCCAAGCAACGACATTTTCAATGAGATATCACGTGAATTGTTCCATTTCAGGTTTCAAGGATTGTATCCATTCCCTTCAGAGGGAGAATCCTGAACTGAAAACTCTTCTGAAATATGTTCACTTTGATACCAAATTCAACAGAGGTTTCATCTTTCCACTTTTTCTATAAGAACTGAAATATTACGCTTGGTTCCTGGTCAAATTTTCATCCGGTATGTTATTGAAGAAGTAGAAAGCCAATGATGAAATTCGTGTCATGTCGAAGCTTTTAATAATGCTGATTGGAAATCCACCAAAATAATAACTCATAAGTGCCCAGTCAGAGCTCCTTCCAATCTGAGAGCTTGAATAATGTAATGAAATTGTATAACCACCTTTCAGTTCCAGCGTATCAAAACATTACTAGTTTCTAAATCTGAAAGAAGTCATCTTTGTGGCACATACATTTTTTTGTTGTTGAATCTATATTTAAACTATAAATTTAGTCTGGTTCACATGTACTCGATTTAGCTCTTTTTGGTGACACTTTTCAGTCCTGCCCAAAAATTACGACCAAGGTGTCATTCAATTCGTATTTTTGCCTAGAAAGTTTAAGGAAAGGTCCGAAAACGCGCCGATAAAAATTACAAAAGTTATAAACAATTAGGTGAAAAAAAAATGAGGCTTTAGTTTTTTCTTAATATCTCGGAAAATTTTCAAAATTTTGGAAATTTGAAAAAAGATTTGAAAAGATCAATA